AGTACTGATGGGGACCTCTGGACCTGCAGCACAGTCCATGCTGGATTTATTTGGGGTGGGTGCGTACCCAGCACTGCCACACTTGTGGTTAGGCACAGTCTAAAGAGAAGGTGCCTCCCAAATGCAGAGCAGGCCTCCTGGCCACCCACCAAGGAAAAAAACCTGATGCAGTGGGAGAAGACTCTTATCTCTGAACATCACATCATCTGCTTCCAGGCAGCAGAGCTGTGATCTGAGCAGGTGATAACTCGTACTAGCAACTCCTTTGATAGCCATATCCCATCTCTGGATATCACCTTCGTTGTCTTAGCAAGACTTGTTCCACCATAGGAGTGTGGGGGAGGGCTGATGGAGAAGAGCCCTAAAAATTGTGATTAAATATAAATAATGACTAATTAAACACCAGCAATGACTATTTCATATAGTTGCAGCTCTACCGTTGTTCCTTGTATAGCTGGCCAAGAGTACCCCTTTACTTTGACTGAAACTCCAAGAAATACTTCAAGATCACAAAGCAGGTAACTTTTGCTCTGTGCCTTTTTTTTTTTTTTTTCCAAGAAAGGCAATATTATTCCTTTCCCTGTGAGAGGTGGAAACCTGAAGTGCAGATGCAGCCCAGATGTAGGATTATGCTTGGCACTGTCAGTCTGTTCTTCCAGTGAAGGTTTGTTCCTAGATCTTGATCTTGTCTGCTCGTGGATGGTCATACAGAAATCCTGCGACGGACACACTAATCTGTGTCTAGAGCTCTGCTCCGGGGCTTGGCCGCCAGCAGGTTTGAGGAGGCAGCCCACCAGGAGATAGGAGGCATCCACAGCCTGCACTGGGAGATTCCAGCTCATGCTCCAGTTCATCATCTGACCTCGAGGAAATGTCTTCTACCATGATGGGAAATACAGCACCTGGGACTTCCTAGCAAACAGGAATGTAAATTATTTGGATCCCCCTGTCCTCTGGAAGGGCTTTCTAATTTGTCCTCCTTGCCTATAAGAGGATGATGGTTGTGAAACTGGTCTTAATGGTGACTTGATTTGCTCTCCAGCTACAAGGTGATTATATTAGACGGTGCTTTTTTTTTTTAAATCAAATAACCTGGAAGCAATTGGGGTTTCTTTGTGGTATGTCCTCTGCAGATAAAAGAAGAGAACCTTTTCCCAGCTGTCTTTGCTTCTCTGTCATCTCTGGGGCTTCAGAAAAGCAAGCCTTTTCCTTTCAAGGAATAACCAAGTGGACTAATTGGTCCACTATTTAGTCTATATCAACTAGTTGATGTATATCCACTCCCTGGATTATAGCTGCATTCCCTGGAGAGCAGATTACATCCACTGCCTGCCTTGGGAGGCTCCCATACCTGAAATTTAAGGGGAGCCATTGTCACCACCCTTGTCCCTGGGCTGTAGTTGCTGACTGCCTGGTGACCATCAGGGCTCTTCCTTTCCACGCTCCCAGTTAATTACCAAGCCTGTAAACAACTTGCTTGGTTGAAAAGATGCACTCTGGCTTGCTTTAGAGTAGCAGTTGATGGAGATGTGGAGAGCAAGGGCTTTTCAGAGTCCCACCTCATGGGCTTTCGGAGCGGCTGAGTGGAGCTGAGCATTATCCCTGTCACTTGGGTGCCATTACTGGCCTACATCAGTGACACCCCAGTGTTACGCAGCCCAGTGGGCAACCTGACTTGAACAAACATTGCCAATAGGCACGTTGACCATGTGTGAACTTGGGATGTGATCCTTGCTGTGGCTACTGTAAGGAAAGGCAGGGCCAGAACTGGGCAAGTTCTGTTCCACTGGGGTGTCTCTGTGGTGACCAGCTCTAGGTCTTCAGGGACAGCAAACTGTTGGTACAGGGGCTTGGGTGGACTCTTAAACACTGATCTTGAGCTGCCCTATTCTTGCACTTAATGACCCTTTGATGTCATTTGCATTGAGGCTGCTTACGAGACAGCGTGCTCATCTAATGTGAGTGAGGACTCTAGGACTTGTCTCCTGTCTAACCAGGCAGTTTCCTGCCTCTGGTGGAGGGCTGATATCCAGCGAGCTGGGAAAGGACAGAATTATCCAAGGTAACCGGTGAACTGAACTGTGCCTCGTATGTGGGAGAAGGAGGAAGTTCTTTCCTGACCTCTTGACGTGATCATATGTGCCTTGAAGCATGAGAGGCAATTGCACCTCTATGAGCTTGCATAACTATAGATGTCATTGGCTAAATAATTATCTAGCCTCTTGAAGAGAGAAAAATCAGTTGCAGAATGTGACTCAGTGCCTTTCATATCAGACGTTTCCAAGAAGTATAATAGTCTCTTAATTGAAGTCCTTATACCTTGATATTAAAATGCATTTCATTGGCATTGAGATCAAAGACATGTTAATGCTCCTAATCTTTCTTGAGACATAGTAAGTATAATTTTAATGAAAATCACTGTGCATGATATTCTTATAATACCTGTTTAAAAAAAAAATGAGAAACAAGCAATATATTTTAAATGAATCCTCAAGCACCATGTAGTCTGTGTGTTTAATACCAAAAACATTTTCTTGTGTTTCTGAGGCTGTTGCTATATTGATGTGTGACATGAATTTTCAATAAAATTTTGCATCTTGGTTTATTTTGGGACTTTTCTTTGCCTGGATGGCTTTCTGTAGACCTTTCCCACGTCTGCTCACATGACGGAATAGTATGGGTATGAAGGAAAATGCTTTTGTTTCCTGTTTTATTCACTTGAGCTTGATTGTCTTAATCTTGATTCTTGTGAGTATGGAAGAGATAAGAATAGAGTCCTTAAGTGATGTTACAGTATGCAGTTGTTTTGTATAGTGTAGGGTGCTTTGGGTTGGCTTGTGCTTGCTTGCCTTTTTTTTTTAAACTAGCTTTGCTGAGACACTGCTGGTGGTGGAGAGGGCAGAGTTAGACCCACTACTGATCTCCTTGGAGAATCTTGTTTCACAGCAACAGGCATCCTTTAAAAAAAAAAAAGTTTCTAGTCATGAACTCTCTGAATAAAATCTATCCTGAGCTTAAACAATGCAACTAAATCTTTTTTGGGAAGTCTTTGTTGATTTGATTTGGAATTTCACTGTGTACATGGTGATCTCCTCGCTTGTGGATCGTGGAGATTTTGCCCTAAGAGACTACTCAGATGAGTGTTGATTTCAGCTGAAGCTCAGTTAGGATAGATGCCTGAACCTGTCAAGTAGAAATATTGATTTTGGTCCTAAATCCAGAAGCCTCTTAGGTTAAGGGTGGTGTCAACCTGACTTGAATTTCACGGCTGGCCTCAACTTCTATAATTGGTGAATTGAAACCTCAGATCTGAATCATGCCCTTCACCCTGAAAAGTTGGGTCTGAACTTCATGGCTGGGTTTCACTTCCCCTTGGGAGTTGCTGCCATCGTTAATATTCATTTGTGAAGCTTCTTGTGCTTTCCACTTCCTTGAGTCTATGAGGTTTGCTGGATCTGGTCCTGCATCTTCACTGCCAAAGGACGATTCACACCCTTCTGTACCTCCTGTAATTGTGTAATTAGGTAACATTTCTTCGGGGCCTTAGATACTTGAGCCTGTTAGCATAGATGTTTTCTCCACCCAACACTGCAAGTCTTGAAAGTGCAGGAAGCTGGAGACGATGTAATTGTATGAAACTTGACCTTGAGTGCTGAAGGTTTTAATAAATTATCTAGGGGATAAGCCTTTTCTTTCCTTTACACTTTGCTTATTTGAAGTAATAACTATTCTCTTTGCATAGAAGGAAATCCAGTTCCCAGGAATTGGTGTAACCAGTTGTACCCAGATGAACAGGTTTCCCAATGGGAAATACAATGGTTATGTGCCCTTGCACATTCACCGTGGGGTCACCGTGATACGGCCGAACGAGTGCCGGGCTCCGTGGCAAGCTGGGTGTCCTCTGCTCTGTTGGGGATGTTGTGTTTGGGAAGCATGCCTGCTTCCCCAGCACCTTCCCCCAGTGTTACAAACACCCCTGGTGTCAGAGAGAGAAAAACCTGATCTCTTGGGGGATGGTGGTGCTGTGCCAATTGTGCTGTCGAACCCACTTTAATGATTGTTTTTTGCATATCCCAAATAAGACCCCACTCCAGATGGGATGCCGCAGCCGTAACTCAATCTGGGAGCTGGGCTGCCATTCAGAAGCGGTCTGGTCTTTGCCATCCGGATCACTTACGAGGCAGGATTACAGCTGGGACCCTCGGGGCTGGGCAGGGGGGGGCTTGGCCAGCAAGCCCCTCTGGCCAAGTTCAGGGATGTGCTGGATGGAGTTTGTGGCTGTCTGGACTTGAGGGGGAAGCTGATGCTGTTGTCAAGTGGTCGTAGGAATGTGATACTCTTTGCAAGCTGCCTGTGGGATTTGGATACCAGGTTCTCTTTAACACCAGCAAAAGCTGTCTGTCGGTGTCCCGGGCAGCTCGGACCACCTCAGTGGTTGTCCCGAAGGTGTGTGGAGTCTGTCTTGAGCAAAGATCCTCTGGCTGTTATACATACACCTGATTATATGAGGAACTAGGAATTTTGGAGAAATCAAGGTGATAACTACGACCTGATTTTAAAATTGTTTTTGCGGTCAGGTTTTAGGGGTAGTTAGAATAGTTTGAGATGGCTTCCTCAGTTCTTGTTCTTATGAAAAAAGTCTTTGACCACAAGGAGAGCTTAACTTAAAAATACTCTTTTTGGGTTTTGGCAGCTGGCTTTGTGTCTGTTCTTTTCAACTGAAAAACTTAATGCAGAAACTTTTCCTTAAATTAAAATATTGAACCGAAAGAGACGCTTCCTTTTGTTGGTATTTCACCTTTTTTTTTTTTTTTCTAAATGCCCAGAATATCTGGGAAACTTCTTATTTCCTGTTGATTCTGTCTCCAGCGATCTTTATCTACGATGCTCCCATGGTGTCAGTGATCTCACCACTGCCACAAACAGATGTAGCCCCTTGGATGCACACTCTTCACAGCCGATTGCTGTGATTCCTGTCCTAACATCTCCTTGGTTTGCAGGACCTCCATGCAGTCGCAGTCATCCTATGGCTCCAACTCTCCACCTCTCAGCAAAATGAACAGCATGAACAAGCTGCCCTCGGTCAGCCAGCTCATCAACCCCCAGCAGCGCAATGCCCTGACCCCAACCACCATCCCTGATGGCATGGGAACCAACAGTAAGAAACCCTCACTCCTCCTTCTCCTGTTCCACGTATGCTCCCCACTAGTCTGGGTAAGGGGACTTGGCATCTCCAAGTAGCTAGTGGTAAGCTGGGGAGCTCAGAGTAATCCGCTGGGAACCTGCAGAGCCAAATATTGCTCACTGCTGTGACCCAGGGCAAGGCTTCAGCATCCCGCTCTGAGCCTCTCGGGTGTGAACAGAGCTCCTTCTTGCTGCGGATCTGTCTGGCTGCACTGTCATCTGTTTTCAAGACTTGTTTCTTCTTCCTTTCCCAGCAGAGGAGATGCAAATGTTGTCAAACTTTTTTTTCCCCTTAGTTCAAGTAAGGCACTTTTTAGTTTCAAAGGAAATATCTGCATCTCACAGCTCTGTGACCTGCTTCCTCCTGGCTGCTGAAGAGTGCCCAGCAGCCCCGTAAATCCAGGATGACAGACATGGTTCTGGAGGCTGAGTTGTGTTGGTTTTGTTGCTGATGTTTGTTGGTTTTTGTTTTTTTTTTTTTCTTAAATTTCAAAAGCACTGGGCTCTTGCCCACACCTGTTGCTGGTCTCCTTCGGGTGCTCTCAGTGTCTCTGAAAACAAAGTTGTTTGGCTTCTGTATTGGGTTACTCTGCTGGCTCTGTCCCGTTCCTCTCCGGCGGCACGGAAAGCCGAGACACCCGTGCCTCGCTTAGGTTTCTCCCGAGCCTGTTTGTACGGGAAGGTGACGCGGCAGCGCTGCCGACAGTTGCTCCGGCGAGGAGAAAGCTCCTGAAGGATTGTCTGTCATCTGGTCCTTGCGGAGTTATTGCCGCCCTGCCTGAAATTCCTCCTGAGCAAACTCCACGCGGGCCTTTGCAGGGGATCGAAGGCTGCTTTGGCTGTGGGTGCTGTCCTTCGGTGCTGTGCTGGGGGCGAAGCGGGGGGTCCAGGGACGCCTGGGTAACCATGTGCTGCTCCTTCTTTTCTCCTCCAGTTCCCATGATGGGCACCCACATGGCCATGACCGGCGACATGAATGGCCTCAGCCCCACGCAGGCGCTGCCTCCTCCCCTCTCCATGCCTTCAACATCCCACTGCACCCCCCCTCCTCCGTACCCCACAGACTGCAGCATCGTCAGGTGAGCGGGAGCAGGCTGCCCGGCGCAGGGGTCCCATCCGCAGGGGGAGGAGGTCTCGTGTTGGGAGCCTGAAGGGTCCTGCTGGGTCCCTCGCCCTATCCTCTTGGAGCACTGGATCCCAGTGAATCTTGGCGGTCCTGGGACTGGCACCCTCTGGGCACCGAGCCTCAAACCCCCACCTCTGAGCACCTGAGAGAAACAGGGACATTAGGACTGCAGGAAAGATGAAGGATGCAGCATCTGTTGGACTGGTGGAGCTGAGGGTGTCAGGCAGTCTTGCAAACATTTCTTTTTTTCTTTTTTTTTTTTTTTTCCCCCCCTTTGGCCAATCAACAAGCCATGGCTGGAGTCAGAAGCCCCTCTGCCCTGCATGAGGTCGAACAGGTTGAAAGATGCTGCCCAGAAAGGAGAAGTCTTTTATGCTTAGGGAGCAATGTGCCGATTTGAAGTACTTTGCGTGCATGACGTGTCCGAGCCCCAGCCCCAGCGCCTTGCTGCAGCCCTCTATCCGTGCAGCAGGCTGCCCCGGGCTCAGCCACCTTCTGGGTGAAGTGACCTGGCAGGAGGGTCCGCGTGAGCCTTCCTGCCCCAAGATCCAGGCTCTTGACTAAGGCGAGGTGCTGCCACGAGGGTTGTCTGCTAGGAGCCAAGCTGGAGGACTCCCTCATTTGTTTGATGTGGCTTGCTGGCCTGGGATGTCTTGGAGAAGGTCAAGCCAAGGGTGAAAGCTTTGTTTCCTGTTGCTGCAGGTTGGCTGAGTGTTTGGTTTTTCTGTGGTTTGGGCTGTTGCAGCCAGGGTGATCCTTTTTTCTCTCTCCTTCCTTCCTTCCTCCTCTGCAGCTTCTTAGCGAGGTTGGGCTGCTCATCCTGTGTGGATTATTTCACGACCCAAGGGCTGACCACCATCTATCAGATTGAGCATTACTCCATGGATGTAAGTAACTCCTCACCGTTTCCTTTGTTTGCACTCTTGGCCCTGCTGTAGGAACGGGTCAGAAATCCAGACTCAGTATATTTTTATTTTTATATGATGAGTTTGATTTAAGGCTGTTGCACACAGAGAAAGACTCCTTGTGAGGTGAAGAGAGGCTGGACTCGGGGCCAGCATCGTAACTGCCTTACCTGGCACAGAAAGTGTGTCTCCCCTTCCCCACCACTGTGCGTTTGAGCCCCCGGAGCGGCCCCAGCCCGCACGCCTGTTCATTCTGCAAGGCTGGGTTTCAGTTTACACCGCTCTGAAACACCTCTCTCGCCTGCAGACAAGCGGGCTGTCCAGACGTGGTCTGCATTTTTCCCTCCCTGCTTCTATTTTTCTAGCCTTACCTTAACGATCTTGCCTTGACACTGGCATCTCAGCCCAACTGTTTTGTTTTTTGGGTTTGTTTTTTTTTTAATCTCTTGCATGGCTTTTGCTGCAGGGTTGCTGCTTCCTCTCCTGTGCCATTGCTCTGCTCAGAGCTGGCTGTCCTGGTTGGGTTTTTTTGCCCTGGGACTCTGCAAGGCTGTGGTGCTTTTTGCTTCCTAGCGTGGGCTGTCTTCCTTCTGCTGCTGCTCCTCCTCTCATTAGAAAAGCTGACCCAAATTAACCAAAGCTGGTTGCTAATTTTTTCAGAAACTGATATTGCATTTCCCAGAGTCTAGGCAATGCTCCCCTCAGGTACTGCACCAAATTCCAAGTTTTCTAAGGTGTTATGTGTCTGTTCTTAAATTTTGATTATGTTCAAGTAAGGCAGAGTCAGACCCAGAGCTTCAAATACTGGAGCTCCGCCTTGGATTCCAAAAATCCTTTTGCAGGCTTTGAAATAAACACAGAAGTTTTCAAAGCCATTGAACTTCTGCCGCCCAGCATCCCCCACCATAGATGACCAGCAGGTCTACCCAAGGTGGTCTTGGAGACCTTGCAGTCCAGTTAACCATCTAGCTTTAGGTCACCATATCTTATGTATGACTGTGTAACTTCAAAACAGACCTTGTGTCACTAGTCCTTGTTGCCTCATGGCGACACGTGCTTGTTCAGAAGTGAACCCCCACGTTCAGGATTAGTGGTTTGTCTTCTCCAGTGCATTGTGGCCACCTGAATTTGAGCAGCTCTGTCTGTTAATAGACATTTGCCGGTGGCCCAGAGGCTGCTTCTACTCTTGGAGCCCAGCTTGCCCAGGAATTGCTCCGTTAAGCCCTCCGCCTTGCCTTGCAGGATCTGGTGAGCCTCAAGATCCCGGAGCAGTTCCGCCATGCCATCTGGAAGGGCATCCTGGACCACCGGCAGCTCCATGACTTCTCCTCCCCTCCCCACCTCCTGCGCACCCCCAGCGGCGCTTCCACCGTCAGCGTGGGCTCCAGCGAGACCCGGGGGGAGCGGGTCATCGACGCGGTCCGCTTCACGCTCCGGCAGACCATTTCCTTCCCTCCCCGCGACGAGTGGAACGACTTCAACTTCGACATGGATGCCCGGCGCAACAAACAGCAACGTATCAAGGAGGAAGGGGAGTGAGCTCTGTGAACACCCCCTGCTCCACCCCGCCTCGGCCACAGACTGCTCAGCCCTTCGTTTGTCTTCCTTCTGCTTGGTACTGCACCCCTGGACGAAGGGCGGAGGGAGCCTTCTTGTTCACTCATGCTAGTTATGCCCTTGATGCTGTCTAGGTCATGCTCCTGGACCACGACCTCCAGCCCGGCTCTTGCGAGGGGAAGAGCTGAGCGAAGGGGGAAGGCGGGTGGTATTTCCTTGAAAGCCATTGACCTTCTCGAGAAGGCGTCGTTCTTGTGTCGTGTTTTCCTTTGGGGAGAGGGCTTCTTTTCTTGACTTTTGAATCCTCATACACCTTTGTTGGGTGTCCTGATCTGCAAAACTTGTCTCTCTCATCCAGTGATCCCGCTTGGAAAAGCAGGAAGGTTAAAATCCATTTTTTTAAAAAGCCAAAAAAAAAAAAAAAAAAAAAACCAAACCCCAAAACCAAATGCAAAAAAGCCTAAAGCTACCAAACACTGAACTGACAGTTCATCAAAAAAAAAAAATAAAAAAGGGAATCGGTCTGCTGAACGTTGCACTTACCCAGCCTCTTCCCACGGAGCGGAGTGCTCTGTTCATGTGTAATACTCTCCAGCGGAGACAGCACGTGCACTTTGCTGGGCAGGCCAGCGCTTATGGCCACCTGCAACCCACTTTTTCCTTTTCCGTTGCCTTCTCTGGGGAAAAAAAAACCAAACCTGCTGTCTCTTCTCATTTTGAATTTACATTGTCCTGGTTTGCCTGTTTCAGAATATAAATGCAAACAGCCATCGGTCGCTCTTGACTTCTGTCCCCCACCAGATCTTTAGCCGTTCTGTACTACTGCTAACATTTAAGGTAGAGAATTAGGTTTTGCCACGTACGCAGCCTGGTTAGCTTAGCATAAGGATTTGCCTGCCTAGCCTCCAGTTGAGCAGAGGACCACCTGAGAGCTGCACACTGATTTGTAAGGCTTCAGCTATCCCAAACCCAGACAGTCTGTTGTTTAGACCGTGCTAGATGGGTTTCCTGCCAAGGCAAGTAGAACTGTCTTTAGATATAGGCTGGAGCCTGTTGTGGGGTGTTGGTGACTATAGACTAAGTGATGAGCAACTAGAAGTAGAGAGTAAAAAAAAGAAAGAAATTTCCAACTGCCTTGGAACAAGGACTGGTTCCTGGTAATAGGAATGTTGCTACTGCAGAAAGTCGTGTTTACAGGAGAAAGGGATTTTTCTCTGTGTTTTCTTTATTGGTTCTACAGCAGCTGTGCTCTGAGGCATTTCCTCTGCCTGATCCAGGCAGGAATCCACCAGGATCTGGTGATCCTGTGGACAGGTAACTGAGCAGAGTGAGTGTTTTCGCCTTAGATTGGCCAAGGTAGCAAGACTCCAACGTATACAAAACAAACCTAAGCTGAGGAGCTCAGCTTGGCACATCTGCTTTCAAGTTGGCTCGCTCATTTTAACAGTAAGCCTGACTTTTTTTTTATTTTTTTTTGCTTGGGGAAAGATGAAAAGAGCAGCTTAAATGACTTGTCACCCTACCTTGCTACAACCAGATAATCTCATTTCAATGCAGTGGCTGTTTTCTTGTCCCTGCTGTGTACCACGTATTTCACTTAAATCTGATATTGTTAGCATCCTCCTCCATCTGTCTGTTGTGCCAGGGCTATGTTGCATTCAAAGACTGCCTTTCGGTACCTGCGCAAGCCTGTTTTTGGATAGCTCTAAGTGGTAATGCAAGATGGTTACTCTGTAAAGTGTGTATATAAATATTTTTTTGTATGTGTAATTTTTGTTTCCTACAGCATAACATGCCGATTTTTATTTCTTCTTGGGCTACTGGGTCTGACAGAACCACAATAAAATATTATTTGTTTTTCTGTTGTTTTTTATTAATTGATATTTTTATGCAGAATGCTTATGATATACCTTATAACAAATGACTCATCACTGGACAAATATATTTGTATTTTTCATACTGAGATTCCCATGTTACTTTGCAGTTGCAGAGGGGAGGGGTAGGTACTGAAAGCCTGTTGTATCATTTTATTTTGTAACACTTCAAAGAGCAGCGTCCTAGATTTCAAAGTATTTAACATGCTCAGTGTGAAAACTTACTATGTCTTTTTTTTTTTTTTTTGCTATACGCTACAAAAGAAGCGAGTCATCCTGCTCTTGACTCGACGCAAGGATTAATTGGTTCAGTGGGGCAGTGTTAGTGTGGGGAAGGTGTTAGTGCGGGTACTCTGCAAATTCCTGGAGCTGAATGAGGCTGTTGTGCCCTTCTCACCTCCAAGGTTTTGCATCTCCATTGTGTAATCCTTCTGAGCTGCTTCAGTATTGTACAAATATTGATGCAAAAAATACCATCATTTTAGGAACCAGGAAGGTGAATGCTGTGCCTAGAAAGGTTAATTCAGTTCATGCTGCGCTCAGAGTCTGGGTGCAAGAACTTCAGTGTCTGCTTTTCCACTCTGCAGCGAGATGGAGCTTTTCTGCTGCATCACTAATGATTAAAATATTATGCTGTGAAAATCTTCTTTCAACTGTACACCACTATGGAGCCCACTTCTGTATAACTGGAATCTTCAAGTGAGTTTGAACTGCTGTAGCTTTTACCCTCCCCTGTAGAGCTGTGATTGTTGTTGTTGTTCTGTTTTGATACATCAAAGCATATGGGTTAATTGAGCTGAGAATCTGCCAATGCTTGTAGCAATGACAGTGTTGCCTGCACCAAGATCTGTGTGTGTTTTGGAACACCTTGTTGTTGAAGTCAATGAAAATAAAAGCCAAACTGAAAATGACACCGAATTCCCAAACAGCTTCATTTCTTACCTGTGCACCGCTTTGGAAATGAGCAGGAGACTTTGCTGCTGCTTCCTCCTCTGAACAGCCGGGGCTGTTTTGCCCACAGGTGCGGTTTTCCAGTCCCCATACCATCCGTGGCACAAGGGTGTGTTATCAACTGCCATTGCACACCAACCTGCCTTCTCTCTGGCAGATGGAATAGCTCAGCCCCTGTAAGCCTCGTGCTGCACTGGGACATCTGGCTTTTGCATCGTTTGCATGGCTCTTTTCTGCCCTTTCACCAGGTTTCTTTACTCTGTTTCTGAGCAGGGCACCAGGAGGTGCCCCATGTTCACCATCCTGCTCCAACACGATGGAGCTTGACTGCTGCATGCCCTTTCCTACCTCCACCCTTGGGAAATAGCCTTGCACAGCCCCTCGGAGCTCAGGGAGGTTTATTCTCCTTATTTAACTCCCAGCAAAGACTTTGTGCATCACCCTGTGCATCCTCTCTCTTACCACAGCCTTTTCCTTTGCATCCCATTTCCTCTGCCAAGGATTTGAAAGAAGAGCAGCTCGGAGCCAGTGGGGTGGCTGCCCTAACAGTGGTGGAGGAGCCTTCATCAGCTGGTGGCTTCAGTCTGTCCAGGGACCACCCCATTAACAGCCCAGCTTCAGGAGTGGTTTCTGTGGGGGGTCCCACGTCTGTCTGTCTCTTAATGGTTTTCCTGGGTTATGTGGGAGTGAGGATGCTTGGAAATGGGGAGAGTCAAAAAAAAAAACAAAAAAAAAAAACAACAAAGATCTCAGAAGAAGAAAAGGCCATGGCTTTCCTTGGGAGGTAGTTTCATGTTTACTGTTGGGGTGGGGAGGGGCTGCCTGCTTTCTTTGGTGCTGGTTGCTGTTTCTTTTCCCTTTTGCTGAAGGACTAGAAAAGCAGTTGTCTCTGAATATCAATACCCAGAGGCATCAGTCCCCTGTTTGCACGCTGGCAGTCAGGGATTGCTTGAAAGCGGTGTTAAAAACTAGCATGTTGCCCTCAAAAGAGAGAAGTGCTACTGTGATGACTGCAAGAAGCTGCTGTCCCAGGTGATGGACTCCTCGCCTCTAGATGAGCAGGTGGGATCAGGTAAAATAAGATTTCCGTTTCCATTAACCAGGTCAGCTTGAAATGTGTTTGCTGATGGATGCAATGGCTGTCTGCAGTGATCCACTGCTGGAGCAGGAGCTTCTGCATTGCTGATGTTACAGCAAGGGTTGAGGAATCCCAAGCTGGTGCTCTCCCTTTTGCCCTCCACCCGTGCCCATTGGAATTATGTCTTTGGATATCGGGATATTTCATACGCAGGCATGAAGTTTTCAGGGCAGGGATCCATCACAGGCTTCCAGCTGTGTCTTTGCAAGCTGGGTGGACCTCTGAAGACGTGCATGCGCTCCTGTGCTGTTTCCTAAGCATGCTGAAGCTAGCATTCCCCTGGAATGAAACTTATCCAGACACAACAAAACTTGGCAAACGTCAGAGGGGAGCCTGTGAAGGGTGTCGTGCTCGTCACGTTCTTCCTGTCCTGGGTGGCTTAGCAGAACCCCCTGCCTTCGCCAGGCAGGTTTGGCAAACAGCTTTGCCTGGATGCCAGGCTCGAGCTGGTGGTTTCTGGGTCCCAAGATGTTTTTTGTTCTCTGTGGCCCATGACAGCAGTGAATCGTTCTCCTGAGCGTATTGCAAAGGGTAGAGGCTGCAGTTTTGGAGTCTTGATGCCAGGCTTGAGCTGGTGGTTTTGGGTCCGGAGATGTTTTTTGTTCTCTGTGGCCCATGACAGCAGTGAATCGTTCTCCTGAGCGTATTGCAAAGGGTAGAGGCTGCAGTTTTGGAGTCTTGATGTTTCATATACTGGCCATGAAGGTGAAATAAACCGGAAAAAAGATAAACTTTATGCTCTGTTGGCAAGGACCGGCTGCAACTTTCTCCCAGCTTGCTTCCCTAAGATTAAGAAGACAACATTTTACTCTGAGGTATATGGCAGTAGCCCTTTGCTACAGCTTTGCTCTCCTGATCTGGGACCCCATGGACTGGTCCCTTTTATTTATACACCCATCCCCTCCCAGCTGTATACACCATGCCTTCAGAACAAGGCCTGAACATCAGTGCTGTGGAAACGGGGGGGTTTGGCTCTGTGTGTGTGTGTATCTCTGTTAGTAGGTGCCTTCCATCTGGTGAGGAGCTGGAGCCCCTCCGCAGCCGCCCCCATCTGCCCGGGATGTTGCAGGGCTGCCCATCGCGGCTGTGCCCTACTGCTGGTGAGTGTGCTTCCTTGGCTCAAACTGGTCCAAGTCCTTGTTGGGGTGGAGGGGGATGATCGGCTGGTTTTGTTAAAATGCTTTGACTTCCGTGTAAACGCTCCTACAGGATCATGTGTTTTGTTCTTAGGAAACATCAGCTCTGTCTTCATGGAGCAAGCTGAATGCCTGGGACCCCTGGTGAGTAAAGGAAAGGCTGTGAGGGAGTCAGGGGGGAAGGAGATGCAAGATTTGGGGCAGGATGGGGGGGCTTCAGGGCACAAGCAAGCACTGAGGGACATCTCCAAGGACAGTGCAGTGACTGTGTGCCTGCAGCATTGCAGCCAAAGGCTGAAGGGTCCAGACC